ATTCTCTTTTTTTTTTTTTTTTTTTGAGACACCTTAGAGAATTACTGAGATTTAGATCGGAGATAACGGAGAGATTTGTATGGAAATTAATTTTATTGTTGGAGTATTTGGTTTGGGTCTAAATCTGGAATATATAAGATTCATATTATTTATATGCTATTAACACCATTCATATAATCTCATTCATGCACACTACATAAGTAGAGTAGCAGCTTTCACACGATTAACATTTTTAAAAAATTGTTTTGTTTTTTTATTTTATGTATAAAACATACAACAGCAAGGATTAAATTTTAAAAATTCACGATATACGTTTTATGGTATACCTAAATTCTTTGGTGATTGAAGATCTTGGTGAATGTACCCATACACGACACTCTTATGCCTACATCGCTTCATCCTCATGAAGCGGTGGCTTCACCTGGGAGAAAGTGATACACATATCGATCCCCTAGGAAATGGGACTCGACGGGGGACACGCGAAGAAGAAATAATCGATTCCTCGACATTCCCAACCTCTTAACATTCTTGAGCACCGGGAGCGCTGAGAACCGGTCTGGGCACAGTTGGAGAGGGTTCGGTATTTTATATTTACCTCAATGGGACGGCTATTGTAAAAATATCCCTCGTCTTCAATGGAAACCCGACTTGTACTGGATAGAACGCTCCACAAGTTCGAAAGTGTTTCAAGCGCTGGAATTGCCACGAGTAAATATTATAATACGGCAAAGCTTATTGGAATCCGTGCAGTTCATGTGCTTTAAATGCCCTAATGTATACAGAAGGAAGCAGAACTCAGCACGGCCTATCATTTGATTTATATCAAACAGGTACAAAATTGGGTTCACTCAGCCTAGCTATGTTCGATAATAAGATGATCGGTACACCAAAACCCAGTAGTACCATTTGGACTTCAAGTCAAGTTCAAGCTTGAACTCCAATTGAACTAACCCTAAAGTAAATGATGATAACAGAGGTATGGTTTTCGAAGATGTAGAATTATGTTCATACATTCCCTTATATATTTTTAACAAAAAATAAATACCATTGAGATGTACATTGCAATAATCATCTTTTGATTGAAGAAATTTTAAAATATGCTTAAAAACCAATGGGTGCAAAAGAAACCCTATTACCAAGCTACCTACAATATTTAACGCTTTAAAATTTTAATACCTAACTCGAAATTCACAAATTTAATTCAAGGTTTTATTTATTTCTCCAATTCTGAGAAATCTCAATCTATTAATTTTTCAATCCGAAATTGCAAACGGTCGTGAAATATACATGTAAATAAGATTGTCAAATTAAAAAGCAAATATAAAGCTCGAAAATATTTGAGAGATGATAAACACTCGACAATTAAAAACAACAATAAAGCTGAATTTAATCTTATTTATGAACAAGTTAATATAATATAAAATCAAAATCAAATATTAAATACTCGTGAGGTCATTAGGAAAGGTATATCCGAATTCTGGACTGGTTTGATATTGATCAGTCGAAAAAAAAAAAACTTAAAACATTTGTTGATAGGTTTAAAGAAAACTTAGCGGCTACATGTAAAATAATTATTTACATAGAATATTATATAACTTAATAACTAGAACAATCGCCTATTATAATGCAATTAAGTAATAGTATTTTAATTTTTTTTTATCGAGATTTAGTATCGATTAATATTAAGTCGATATCCACAGAATCGTTATCAGATATGGAGTAATGGGTCACCGTAAGGGAAGTTCTTGGAACAGTTGAGGTGAGTCCCGAGAAAATTCATTCACTTCTTAGAACCTGGCCGAGATAACTAAACGGGAATAACGTTACATATTAATATAACTGATAACGTTATGATCTGGAGTCAGGTAATTGCAATAATAACTTTTTTTTTTAACGCTTTACGGTATTAAAAGTTTCTTTACGGTAAAGCGTTTCTTATGCTTTGATTTATTTATTAACATCACAATATTTCATAATGTATGAAAATCATAAATAAATCAAAGCGTAAGAAACGTATAATTTATTTAATTGTGGGGATTTGCAGTCTATATTCTCTTTTTATCGGCTTGCTCACGTTTCGACCAAACCATGTGTGTCATTATTAGGGCTAAAAAAACAAAAACGAATCCTGAATATAAGTACTGATTATTTATCATCCTTATAATAATAATAAAAAAGTCAACAAAAATATCAATCATTAAATAAGTACAAAGTATTAAGTTAAGTATTAAGTTGTTTTTATATTTATAATAAATTGCTAAAACTCGCGGTGCTGTGCACACGCGTTAGCCCATTCGGCCACCCCGCTCCTGTTACTCGAAGATTCAACAAGCATTTTGCACTAAAATTGGACTCTCAATTTCTCTACATAGCGCCTCAACAGAAATAGTAAAAAAAATCATTTATTGCCGTGCATACATTTTTGAGTACGATCAGTGTACAAATGTATCATTCTTATGACATTTAAAAAATATAGGGAATGTTGTCAAAATAGTTTTTAAAAATTGAGTTTATTATTTTAATCTATTGAATGAAATAGACCACATAAAAATTCTTACTAACATGTTTCGATAAAATTGATCTAATTTATATATTAGTCTAAATTATATATTAAATTTGAAAATAAAATTACTTCATGCAGAGTGTTACTAATGGATGGTTTCCCTACAAGATTTAACATTTTGTATTTCCCTGTATCACATTTACTAGATGTATTTTAAGTTTAATAAAGTAATCGACAATTTTTTAATTAATATTATCACATGGGATTCATTTTCGGTTTTGAAAAATTAGATATATTTGTATAAATAATGTGTAAAATTCAAATTCAAATAATTATAACAGTTTTTAATTTATGTATTTTAATTTTTGTGATTAAACAAATAATTAATTAGCTAAAAAAAATATAAAAACTGTTTATATATATATATATATATATATATATAAAAATGGGTCCGCTGAGGGTGCAGAAGAGATAGAAGGGTTAGATGGAAGAAGGATGGAGACAGACATGCAATTACTAGGCGCCATTCAAAACAAGATGCCGACAGTACCTTGGTGTACTTAGCTACAGGTCAAAATACTTTCTAACATAATGTCTATGTATACATATTGCATTTATTACATTAATATATTAAAAAATACATTTTTAGCTATACAAATTAAATTTAAAAATTAAAAAGCTTAAAATTATACCCATTCTAATGATAGGTGATTTATTATAAGTATTTTCGAAAAAAATAAAGTTTCTAAATAATTTGATTATTAACAATAAAATTTAATATCTCGAAACCAAACATGTTTACTGTTTACAGCACAATAATAGATCAACATTTAAACTATGTCAGAGAGTATTGTGTGTAAATGAAACGCGTGAGTTATTTTAGATGCCTTTGAAAACATAGACGCGATTTAAAAGCGATGTTATGTCATAGCTGCAAGGCTAAAGTCGCTTTCGAAAACTATTACAGGAATGCACAAGAGACGTTTTATTCGTTTTGCGGTTTAATGAACTGGGAGATATGGCATAGTATTAAAATTACGGGATAATTAACTAGGAATTGTTTGGGATCTCGATTACAAAAAATAAAATAATTAAAAAGGAAAATTGATCTAATAAAAGCTAACTGCAATTAAATAAATTTATAACTTTAAATAGGTTTGATTAATTAGAATCATGATAGTTTTTGATTATTAACGGAGGAATGTAAAATGAGTATGGCAATAACCAAAAGTGTACTAATCTACTAGTCACGTTTAACAAGTATGTCTTGTGAATTCCATTTAATAAAAAAAAAAAAGGCGTATAATATGTTAATACATATACATATATTTTAATCTAGTGCTAATGTATTAAAAAAATCGATATATAATGGAAAAAGAATCGATAAATAATCTAAGAGATGACTTTGGAAAGCAGCCGACGTACGATAAGAGCCGGCGGCAGAGAGGCGCCACCTGAGCAGGTCTCTCCCCCCGACTTGTACTGTTACTTCTTTCCCTTCTCCCAGTTACACTCCCTCTTATTTACATTACTTTTCTCCCTCATTTTCTTACGCCTAAAACTATAAAAAATGATGATTTAAATAAAAAAAATATAATCATAATAACATTTACACTTCTAGAGGAGAGATATAGACGCCAAAGTTATTTTAAAATTGAGCAAGAAAAACAGAAATAGAGATATTTTATTTTACACTTTTGCTTATGCCATTATAATATAGAACAATATACTTCTATGAATCCATATCTAAATCTCGCATATCGTTATAAGGGAACATAACACAGTAACAATTATATATTCACAAAAACCGATTTATGATAACACGGAAAACGATCGATATTGAGCCTTAATGATACAAACAAATATATGATTTAATGTGCTTAAGGCGAATTTATAAATATACAAAAAGTTTCGGAGGTAAAATCGTCAGACAGCTTTTTTAGGTTGGTTAACCTGCGCCGCACGAAAGGTTATAAACAGTTGAAGTTGGTTAAGCGGGGCAATAATAACATTAGAGCATTTGGGCCACTAATACTTAAATCGTAACCATGAATAATAAATTAAAAAGAACGATTTTATCTACTTGATGATTAAAATAAATTAAAATATGTAAATGATTATCAGCGTCGTAGTGGAAAATAAAAGGTATTGGAAATTTGTTTTTGATGAGAAATGTATGATAGTTTGTTACTTTTAAGTAAAAAGTTAGTTTGGGACGAAATTAATAGGTGTTGGGGATCATATATGTGATCCGTTTGGTCATACTAATGTATTGAAGTAATGAAAAGTGTAATATAAGAGGAATGAACCCTTCAACAGTGATGGAAAAAACTTCTTACTCTTCGACATAACCTTCACCGGTGATAAGATTATAACCTGACATTTGTTAAAAATGGTGTTTTTCACATATGAACAGGAACTTTGTCGGTGATACAGGGACGTTTGGAGAGGAGATAAGTGGTAAAGTAGTGACGGTTATAAAGCAACAGGTACTCACCAGGGCTGTAGAGCCTGCTCCAGTGGAAGGGGTTGCAGCAGGGCTCCGCTAAGGAGGACCTGCAAACCGGCAGCTTCTTCAGCTGGCAGGGGCTGTCCAAGTCGGGCCACCGCCAATTCCGGCAGGTGAGGAAGGCTGGGTCCGCCGAGGTGTCGACGATGATACAGGAGGCGGTGCCGCCCCTGGTCTCGACGGCCCTCAGCAGGTCCTCCAGCTGGCCTTCGTTGAGCTTCTTCATTAAGAGATTACGCACCTCGTCATCGTCCTTCTTCCGGACCCGGGCCTTGAGTAAGGACCTAACCAGCGCGGCGCGACGCCTCCGGAACATGAACATAGAAGTCCGCTGGGGGCATGCCCGACACACAGGACACACTAGCTGTCGACAAGGAACGAGGACCGGCAGCTCTGATATGTTGGACGTGCCGAGGCCGGCGACGGACTGAGGCCGTGGAGGGGCGGCGGCCATCTTGATGGTGGTGGGGGGCGCTCCCCGTTACCAGTACGTCACAGCTCCTCTGCTCTTCCTTCGGGCAACACGTCCCTTGTTTATTAATCTCTATTTATATACTTTGTTTTATTTTAAATTCTTAATTCTATAAATACATAACTATTACGTCCATTATAAATAATAAACAGCTTTTAGCTATTTTGGGTTCTATTGACATCATAGGAATCGGTGTTTATTTAAATAGCTGATTGTCACTTTTTTCTTGTATTATAGATTAATTGAACAAAAGTATAAATTAAAAAAAAACGGTGTGGTGCATCACAAAGCATTAACTTGTTTCCGTATATTCAATAGAATTTATATTTTAAATAAGTTAATAAACCTTAAGAATACTACTTCAATTTCTTTTTTGCCTAGGTTAAACGGGGTTTTCTGGATCCGAGGAAGAGGGCTGAGGATTAATTACAGAGTTGAAAGCCTCTCCGTCCTCTTCACATATTACTTTAAATATAAATAGGTCAACATATAACTAAAGGTGAATCTATGAGAGGGCTGAAGTCCCTTCCTATATGAATTTTTTAACAGATCATCAATGACCACTTAAACTTCTTTTTTCTTCTTCCAAAGTAATTACCATTATAACAGAAAAAATAAAAAGCCCTGTAATTAAATCCTAGATCAGCTGCTATCTTTACATATGGTTTCCCAAGAAAATTGTACATAGTTTCCATAGGAAACATTTATTTTCCAATTCAATAATAATAGAATTAGACATAATTAACTGTGACCAGTATTGGATTTAGGATTTTATTTTGTGTCTTTTTAATAGTAATTAACTGGCAAAAAATGACAGAAGCTAAGTAAAACAATGTTTAATTGATCCTTGATGGCCTGTAAAAAATAAAAATATTAATTACAAGAACGAAAATGATCTTAGGAATATTGAAATTCATTCCGTTTCCACTTTGACTTCCCTATATATGAGCATATCTATTTACTCTAAGGTTGGTAAGTGAAAGTTGTGTGATGAGCCTAAACATGAATATTTATTTAACATGAAATGTCGGTATTATTTGATTTTATAATAACTCATCCAATTTAGATTGTTTTTTTTTAACATATATTTGCCTCACTTTTACTGTATATTACTTCATAACAAATAAGTATTAAGATTTAATTTATGTGAATATTTTTAATCAAAATAATTTGATGGTTATATTAATTTAAACATATTTAATAATGATGATATGATAAATCTTCATTGGTAAATGAAGATAGAATGCCTTCGTTAATCAATAGAAGACATACACTTTTCATTCCATAGCTATTATTGCGCAAGGTATAAAGGATAAAATAATAAAATGAGCAATAATGAGTGAAATATTAAAGGAATCTCATCTAATTGGTTAATCTCAGTCATTAGGGATAATAATATAGGAATATCCTCTCCTTTAAGAAATAGCATTGCCTGCTCCTTGTACAAGGAATGTCAGTTTTGAAAGAGCCACACGTAGATATTTTTTAATTACTATCAATAGTAAATATGTGAGAATGTATGTGGTCATCAAAGTAAATGTGCAAGCTTTTTGAGATTAGGGATTAGGGAAGATGGAGGGAAAGAGCAAAAGATCATTGATTGGCTGCCTGTAGTGTAGGAGGCTAGGGTTGATTCAGAACGTATAATGATAATAGTGAAAAATTGTGAAAAAATGTTAGGATTAATTTTTGATATATTTCAGCGACTTTCATTTACTTTATAAATCTTTAAAATTAAACATAGTTAAACAGATGAAACATCAATATTAATAAATTAAAAATCTGGTGTGTCCACCCACACGACTTTCCTACCTATTTCAGAAAAGTTTTATATCTTCTATTTATACATATCTTATATATGTCTATCAAGGAACAAAAACAAATCAAATTAGATTTATTTTCCTGCAAATTGATCAAAGAAAAGATTTGAGTGTAAAAAATTCAATACCCTCTAATATTGCTGTTTCTCTTCAAAATCGGTTCAGAAGTTCCCGAGAAAATCTAAGCACAGACAGACAGAGAGACAGACCAATGACTAAAAATTTGTTTTTCGAACTCAGGAGGCTCTGAAACGTTTAGATTCGTCGAAAACAGCTTATCGGAAATTTGACCCGATTGCAATACTTACCTTACCTAGTACAGATAGGAAAGTAAAAATACAGAAATTTTCATGGTTCATTGTTGAAATTCGTGGTCCATTTTAATTTATGCTAGTTTATTCTGTCTTATTGGTCATTTTGGCAAAGTACCATATTTTACTTTCCTCCAAATAACAAAGCAGCATTAACATAGCTTCCTCCCCGTTTTGATTGGTTACAAAATTATTAATAGTTCAAAGTCTACGATTTGTCATTGAGAATAAAATCCATAGGAAAAGCCGAGTTTCAAATATAGTCTTGTCAAGGAAAAGTGTACGCCTAAAACGTACACATTAATTTTAACAGAATTTAAGTTAAACCGAATTTGATAAAATTGATACTGTATCATTTTTTTCACCAATCCCTTACTTAACTTTTCGATATATAGATGTACCAATGAAAATACGTTTGTGCAAGTTTAAGCGAAACAGGAACTATTCAGTTACCAACTCTCACAAATCCTGAAAATTCCATTGAAATTGGTTTAACGTTAACATGGATTTTTTCCAAGGCAGACACGAAACCAAATTTATTCCTTGATATCTAGATCGTAAAAAGTGAGTGGAATTTATCAATTCTGGTCATTTTCTTTTCTTTTTTTTTTTTTTATCCGCAAGAATACACCGCTGATTTTGATAGCCAGAAAGCTAAAAATATATGGAATCTTCCCGATATATTTAAAATATAGAAATCATTGCTAAGATTCATCCAAACAAAAATATGAATTACTATGAAGGACTTCTTAGCTTTGACTGTTAACTTGTGCACTAGAACACTAGCAGATCCAGGATTTAATTTTAGAGAGCGCTTCAGTCTGAAAGATTTTTTTTCGTATACATATAATGATGATTAATTTGTAAAAAAAAAAAAAAGAGAAGAAATTAACTACCTATATGAAATAGTGTTTAAGTGGTTCTTGAAGTCATATTAAATGTAATTACACGAACAAGAATACTTTAAGAGATAATTTATCATATTTTTTTCTTTAAAACGTGGTTATATTTTACCATTTTGGGGTGAAATGATAAAATATAAGATAAGGGGCTTCAGCCCCTCTTCTCCCCCCGTAGATCCGCCTGTGCACTAGAATAGTTGGAGACGGCAAAATATCCCAAAAACAATGCTATTACGCGTTTGCTATATTCTGTTTCTAACACGTTAAGATTACATGACAGGGATTTAGAATAAACTTTGTCAATAGATAGTCATTGTTCCTCTAAAAATGTTAAGGAATGTTTACAGTTGACATTCTGTTCTGTTCAAATCACTGACCATTTCTTCCCGTGATCAGAACCAAACTGACCGATAATTTAAGAATAGCTCAATGTTGTTACCAAACAGTTTTTTTCAAACAGTCAAATCTTCTTCCATTGCTATTTTTTAAAACATATTTTGGATATGTTAAATATAAAGTCGTCAATAAAAGATGGATGGAATTGGCTCTACTCAGCACGTCACCGTCAATTTCTAGACCAAGCAGGTATCGAAATTAGTGAAAATTAGAGACAAGCCTTGCAACGATCGAAGAATGGCTGGAACCTAAGCTAGACATCACGGTCTTTATAATTTGATCCACTATCTAGATCATAATTTCAACAACCCTTCAATTATATATCAAGCTGAAAGCATAACAAATTTTCATAATTCAATTATCACTTTTCATTTCATTAATTAATTAATTCCATTGATACCTTCACATTTCTATTATTTTATAATCGATTAGTAAAATACAAGAAAAAAAAATTGTCTTACTACGAAAGAATGAATAATTAACTCTCCATATCAGGGTGGTGATGGGGAAAACCCGATTTTTTAAAACGTCAATAGCCAGGAGAACTTCTTGAGTATTATAGAAGGGCCAAGGTTTCTCATTTAATTCCGGAGAGTATGGTAAACTGTCAAACAATCACTGAGAAATTTCAATTTTTCGAGCTGATAAAACTGAAACAGGAGTAAAATTTTGTATTTTCTGTGAAGAGAAGAGCATTGAACGAGGAAACCGTTGAAGCATAGCGGATGATATGTAGGACAGGGTTCCAAAAGAAGACAGCTCGGATGAGGAAGGTTTTGTCAAACGTCGGAGTTTGATGGGGAGGACTGTAGAAGTCAGAAGGACGAGATCGGGTGTGCCGGGAATTGATGGATAGATTAAATTATATCTTCTATATAATGTAGGATGTGCGCTGAATTCTGATTAGGAAGGACGCAAGGAAATATTGACAGCTGTGAGATGGGATACTGACACCACTTTTGCTCGACATAATACAGGGTTATTCGTGTACCTCTGGTGAACCCGAAAACAAAACTAACCAATTCATAAGCAGTTTAAGTCTTACTTTAAGAGAGTCTACCGTGCACCAGACAGTACTGATCAAAAAGGATGAACACAAGGGATGAAACTAGAAATAGTCGGTTTTTATATAGTAGAAGGCTAAGTAAATGATTATGGCTTAAATATATATATATATATATATATATATATATATATATATATATATATATATATATATATATATATATTATTTCTTACTTTTCTTATAAACAGAGCAAGTTTAGGTAAAATTAGGAAAATCCTAGATCATATACAATTACATTTTCTACAGTCTGTTCCATGTTTTCCTCTTGTCCTTTAGCTCCAAAATTCATAACCCCATAGAAATTCACTTCTTCAATTAAAAAAAAACAAACAGTCAAAATATGCTATGCTGCCCTAAAAAATTTTGATGGCATAACTTGCTCTATGAACTGCCCTGTGTGAAATCAAATTATAGTGCACAAATCATACCTATTTTTGAAATACGATTAAGATAGAGTTTGAGTTATGATGGTGCGCGTTTGCATCAATAAATGTGATGGAAACTCACAAATATGTACTTGAATGTTCAGCTCCATCTTAAATCTATTAAGTTATTTTTTACAATAAGCTAAGGATATCAATTTGGAACTTTACGGAACTCATCAGTGAGTCCAGATTTTTTAAAATAAAGTTTTT